AGGCAAGCGCAGGGCAGTGGAGGGAGGACCTGGGCAGAGCCCTGCGGTCAGAGGGAGAGGGTGGGAGGAACAGAGCCGCTGGCAGTGGATGCTGGAGGAGAGGAAGGTGAGGTAGGGAGCAAGGAGAACATTACACTTAACTGTTTGCTGTGGGGAAGCAGCAGGCAAGGGCTGTCTGTGCGGATCAGCAGCAGTGTCTTGGCACCTCATGCTCCTTTCGGATCCATATCCCGAGGTGGATGCTCCCAGGACAGGTACACACAGCAGAATGTCCCGTGGTCCCCAGGAGTTTCCCCACTCCTGTCCCTGCCCCGACGTCCCTCCCTCAGGCACTGTGTGCTCACAGGAGAGTCGCAGACGGTTTTGCAACTGCAGCTATGTCTGTGCTCTGTATTCTTGAGCTTATTTATCTTGCTTGTTGTTTGTTTTTTTTGTTTGTTTTTTATTTTCCCCCCACAAAGGAAGTAGCTTCTGCCAAAAGCTCTTCAGGAAGAATTTTGTGAGTGGCCCCTTGTTTGTGCCTGATTAGAAACACTCCTCCCCAGAAGAATTTCCCACTCTGTGACTGCCTTCCCTCTCCTGGCAGATTTCTGCCATTCGTCATTTCTCCCCAAACCTCAGCTTCCCTTGGTGGTCACTGCCACTCTGGCTGCAGAGCGATGCTGGTGGAGCTGGTGATGCCAGCAGTGCTGGAATGCTGGCAATACTGTCAGTACTGGCAGCACTGGTGAGGCCGCTGGGAGCTTCTCAGAAGCAACTCCCATTCTGGGAAGAGCACAGAGATCATTGCCAAAGCCTCTCCAGGGCCCAAGGGAGAACACCTGCAAACTGGAGCCAAGAATTCCCAATTTTGACATTCTAACAGGCTCTAACAGCCCACATGGAGGACAGCAAAGAGCTCTTCTCAGCCAGGTTATTAGCACTTAGAGCCCAGATTAATTACTGCTAAATACCCTTAATGATGCAATGAAAGCTATTGGAGACCAGATCTTGGGGTGCTGTGATCCCCTACCAGCCCTTCACTGGCAGCACATCCTCCTCCTCAGTCCTGGGAGTGTTTTTACCTAATCCCATCCCTTTGGTAGCAGGGACACCTTCCACTAGCCCAGGTTGCTCCAAGTCCTGTCCAACCTGTCCTTGAACACTTTCAGGGATGGAGCAGCCACTGCATCTCTGGGCAGCCTGGGCCAGTGCCTCAACACCCTCACAGGGAAGAATCCCTACCCAATCTCCAATCTAAACCCATTCTCTGTCATAAGCTGCTCCCCATTGTTCTCTCACTCCAGATGCTTGCACAATGTCCCTCTCCAACTCTTGGAGCCCCTTTAGGCACAGGAAGGAGCTCTGAGGTTTTCCTGGAGCCTTTTCTTCTCCAGGCTGCACAACCCCAACACTGTCAGCCAGTCTCCAGAGCAGAGGTGCAGATCTGTATCTATATCTAACTCCACACAGAGATATAGATGGATATATCTCCATCTCTCTTGTCTCTCACTGTGCATCAGCAGCACCCAGAGGATTTCTGAATGAATCCACCCACTGATCCCTCAGGTATTTTAAGCATCCTCTGGCTGTCTTGCCAACTTGCTGTGCACACAGACAGCTGATTCCTTTCAAGTTATATGTTCGTTCCCAAAGACATCATTGTGTGTTGACACCAAGGTACTTTTTAGGGATTTTTGTCTGTTTGATTGATTTTTTTTAGGCTAAGCAAAGCACTTTGAGTCTTTCCAAGTTGCACTGGCTTGCCCTCTGTTCTGAGCAGACCTCAGCCCCTCTTGCAGCTCAGCAGTGCTTCCACCCACCTCCCTCAGGCCACTCAGCTGGGAAATTAGATAAATACATCACAACTAGATGGAGAGTGGGAATTCCTTGCTGTACATGTGGAGGGCAGCTGGAAACATCACTGTCTTTTCAAGTCAGTACACAGAGTTCATAAAGACATGGTTGGGATGTTCTGTGAAGCAGATGAAGATGTTAGTCTGGGAATGGCAGGAATCTCTCCTCTGCCTTTGGTTACTGCTGAGTCTCTCTATTTACCTGATACAGTGCATAGGAAGTAAGAATTCACTTAGGCTGAATCTGTGGTGTGTTGGGATTCTTTGAAGAGTTGTTTTTCATAGAATCATGGAATCATAGAATCATGAAATGGTTAGGATTTGAAGAGACCTTAAAGCTCATTTGGTTCCAGCGCCTGCCATGAGCAGGGACACCTTCCACTGGCCCAGGTTGCTCCAAGCCCAACCTGGCCTTGAACACTTCCAAGCCACAGCTGCTCTAGGTAACCTGGGCCAGTGCCTCAGCACCCTCACAGGGAAGAATTCCTTCCCAATATCCCATCTAACCCTGCCCTCTGGCAGTGGGAATCCACTCCTTCCAAATTTGTTATTTGCTCTTCATATTTATTATTTCATACTTATAGCTATTTATTACCATCTATTAGTTGCTATTTATTCACTTATTTACTATTGATTACCTACAACCAACAGTTTATTATTTACCACCTTCATGTTTGTATGTACTATTAGCAGTACTTATTAATTACTATTGGTTACATTAACATCACTTAAAACAACTCTTTAATATTATTTACAAACATTTGGGAAATGTTGTCCAATAGCTGCTGGCTGCACTTCTCCAGTGACTGAGAAAGAGTTGGACAGGGACTTTGGATAAGGGCATAAAGTAACAGGACAAGGGAGAATAGCTCACACTGATAGAAGGTGAGTTTAGATTAGGAAGAAATTGTTGCCTGTGAGGGTGGTGAGGCACTAGAACAGGTTGCACAGAGAAGCTGTGGCTGCTCCATCCCTGGAAGTGTTCCAGGCCAGGTTGGATGGGGCTTAGAGCAACCTGGGCTGGTGGAAGGTGTCCCTGCCCATAGCAGGGGGTGGAACTGGATGATCCTTAAGGTCCCTTCCAACTCAAATCATTCCAGGATTCTGTGATTCTAAATCAAGTATACCTGTCAGTGAATAAAAGGTGTTTTCTCTCTGGCTCATTTTTCCAAATTTCTTCCCATGAGTCATTTCCTGCCCATGGTAAGGAGAGTGGAATATGTTCCAGAAGGTCCTTTTCAACCCAAAGCACTCCAGGATTCCATGAACACATCTCAGGGTGCAGATGAGAAGAAGTCAACAAGGAGGAAGTTGATAATTTCGTGCTCAACGTGACAACAGGTTTGCAAAGAGGAACCATTTGAGACAACTAGCAAATGGGGCTGCAACACCCATCCCGTGGGGGTGACACTTGGGCAAGACACTTCCTCCACTCTCAGATGTGATGACCAAACTCTGACACGTCCACCCCTGAACTCACACCCAGGACCTTGGTCCCAGGGGCCATTTGGCTGAGGAAGGGGCAGGGAGCCAGAGCCAGCACAGACTGCTGGAGGAACCTCACTGTGGAGTCAGCTTGTTGCTGGAGGCCACATCTCACCTGAGATGGCTTTGGCGTGGCAGCTTTGTGAAGTTTCATGTGCAGCTCTGACAGAGAGGACGTGAGTTTGCAGCTTTGGGACACCTCTGTGCAAGGACTCTGCCCTAATTGGTGAGAAGGGTCTGCGCTCAACTCTGCTCTTGTGACTCTGGCATGCTGCTCTGCTCTGCTCTTCCTCCAGCTTTCCATTCTTCCCATTCACCTCCTCAGCCCTTTTCCACCTGCAAAGGACAAATGGCTCTGCATACCTTTCTTTTCTCTCTCTACTTGTCTTTCAGCCCTCTGTTTGTCTCCTGCCACCTTGGGCCCATGATTTCCCCTTCAGTCCTTATTTCTCTTGATTTCTTCCCTTCTGTTCTCCCCTCTTCCCAGTTCTGATATTCTCTGGATTGCAGATGTTGTAGCCCTTGGAGGAGGGGGAAACACTGAATAACCAAAGGACATGTACAGGACACCCAAAAATCACTCATTTTGCCTTCATCTCTTGCCTGTCCCCAGGTGAGCACAAGAGAGAAAGGAGGAGATGGACCAACATCCCAACCACACCCTCCATGACTGGATATCCCCAGCTCCCACAGAGAGCATGGACTATGGTGATGGACACAACGGGACCAGGTGCTTTGCAGAGTACATCCCTGAGATCATCACTGGCAGCATCACACTGCTCACCTGCCTGTGTGGGCTGGTGGGGAATGGGGCCATCCTCTGGCTTCTGAGCTTCCACATCCACAGGAACCCCTTCAGTGCTTACCTGCTCAACCTGGCTGTGGCTGACACTTGCTTCCTGCTCTGCACCTTCATCTTCCTTGTCATGTACCACATGCCCATGCTCAGCTGCTTCCAGACAGAGATTTCGGGGGCTTTGCCGCTGTTCCACTCCATGGTTCTGCTCACCTACAGCACCAGCCTCTACCTCCTCACAGCCATCAGTGTGGAGAGGTGTGTGGGTGCCCTCTGGCCCTTCTGGTGCCGATGCCACCGCCCAAGGCTCCTGTCACCCATGGTGTGCAGTCTGCTGTGGGCCCTTGCCTGTGTACTTGCCGGGCTGGTGTACTTTGTGTGTGACCTGGGTCACTCTGAGCACTGCCGGGTGGTTCTGGGAACATTGTGCTTCCTCAATTTCTGCCTTTTCACTCCCTTTATGGTTGTTTCCAACGTGATTGTCTTCATCAAGCTAAGGCAGAGCTCTTGGCAACAGCACCCAGTGAGGCTGTATGCTGTGATCTTCCTCACGGTGTTCTTCTTCCTCCTCTTTGGCATCCCACTCAGCATCGAGATATTCCTCAACTTCTTTGCCTACATTAATTTTGTCTTTGAGATCTGCCTGTCACTGGCGTCTGCCAACAGCAGCATCAATCCTGTTATTTATGTCCTGGTTGGAATCTATGGGAAGCCCAGGCTCAGGTCATCCATCAAAGTGGCTCTCCAGAGGGTATTTGAAGACAGGACAGATTCCCAAGAGGTGGGTGAGGCACCTGTGATGAGAACTGCTGCCTAAACCTGTATGGATGCAGTGTGGCACTGAGAGAGCCTCTATACCCCAGGAGCAGAGCCCTTGGGTGCTGGCAATAGTCATATATCCCCCAGGACATGGTGATGCCTGGTGAGATTTCCAGGGCAGAGCTGGTTTCCATCTCAAATTTATTTATAAGCTATTTTAATAAAAGTGGTTTTCATGCAACATGGTCTTTTTTGTTGACTTTTCTTTTATTAATGTTTTAATGTCTTCCATGTATTTCATGGTGATTGCAGTTCCTTCCCTTGCTAGCACTGTGGTGTGTCCTGACTTGTTCCCAAAGTCACAGTTGTGACAGTCCCCTCTCACTGTCCACTAGGTCACCACACTGAAATGATGTCTTCCAAAAAGTCCTGCCTCATCTGCTCTGCTGTTCTTCAGGGCTAACACAGCCACACTCTCCCTTGCCTGCTTCCCAGCATGGAGAATCCCAACCTGTCCCACTTCCACCCTCTGCCAGAGCCTTGGTTCCCGATACCAAAGCACCAACCTCTTACCACCTTGATCCTCAAAAGCTCCCAGACTAGAGGGGATGGTGGTGAAGGACAGCTCCCTCTGGCTCAGTGTCCTCCTATGTCACAAGGATGGAGAGAAAATCTATCTCCAGCTGGGAGCATCAGCCAGCAGCTAAACCTTCATCCTCCAAGGGGATTTGACTGGGGTCGCAGGAAGGGATGGGCAAAGAGGGAAGTGCTGTGGTGATCAACACTGTGTCAGGTTGCTCCAAGCCCTATCCAGCCTGGCCTTGAACACTTCCAGGGAGGGAGCAGCCACAGTTTCTCTGGGCAACCTGTGCCGGTGCCTCAGCACCCTCACAGGGAAGAATTTCTTCCTAATATTCATTCTAACCCTGTCCTCTAGTAGCCTGAAGCCATTTCCCCTTGTCCTGCCACTCCAGGCCTAGCTTAGAATTCCCTTTAGGCACTGGATCATGACCTGTTTGCATATTAAAGTTTGGCTTGGTGAGAGGATGTGACATTCCGTAGTCGTGAACACAAATGCAGTGTCAGTGAGGGAGAGAGGAAGCAGTTTTGGTCCCAGGGTACCCACACATACCAGTTCCAATCAGGGGCATCCCAGCTCTCAGATGCATGTCAGTATGGGTAGAAGTCATCTCATGCCACTTCAGCTCTAGAAATTCCCTGGAATTCACTGTAGGCTGCTGACTGACCCAAAATGGAGTGCAGAAGACAACTCGGATGAGACCTGTAACTTTTCAATGGCTAAAGCCAAGACAGCAGCAACGATTCTTCTCTCCTCAGAAAAACATCTTATTCCTGAAATCCTAAACCATCCTTCCACCATCTGCCTCTGCTCCAGTTCATGCACAGATTGTACATGAGCTCCTTGACACACATAGCAGAATCCTCTTGGAAACTGCAGTGAAGGTCAAGTATCACTGAAATTCTGGTATACAAGTGATGAAACTAGATTTGAACCAGATATGGAAGTTTTGCAACAAGTTTGTAGTTCAGGGTCCTAAAGATCCATCCCTGGAGTGAGAGGAGAAAAGTTCAGCCAGTTCAAAGATAGTATTTTGGGACTGGGGTTGCTTTAATGTGAAAGAGGAACCTGACACAGTCAAACTGCTTTTTCCCTTAGGTCTCATTTCTGAGGCTCTTCTTTGTTAGTCATTTCCTGTCCAAAGCCAAGAGGAGATTAGAACCAGAGCTCTGATACCATTGGACACCATGAAATAGTTCCTTGTTTGCAAGAGCCCTCACAAACATGAGCCAACACGGAGAAAAGGGGGTGGTGAAAGGACCTGGGACAGACCCCATGGCAGATGCTGTTCAGGCTTACCAGGAAGGCTTTGCTTCAGTTTTCCAAGTGGTAACTCCAGGAAACTTCCTGAAGATCCCATCCCAGGGCCAGCAACTGGTGAGTGTGAGGTGATGTGAGTGTGCAGTGTGTCTGCTCCAGGGAAGTTCCCCAGGATGAAGAAGGTCAGACTCTTTCGGGTGGTTTTTTTTTCCAGTTTAATCAGTGTTCCCTCTCATTAGTGTGAAACCTGGACCTCAATTTTCACCAAATTTCATCAGGGAATAGCAGTCTCTGGGATATTAAGACATAAATATTGTGGGAAAAGGTGAGGGGAAATACTGAAATTCGTGCTGAAGAAATCCAGCAGCTTAGTGGCATCAGCTATAATATCAGATACCTGGGAATTCAGATCAGCTCCACCCCAAAGCCACTCCCTCTATCTTATCTCCAAGGGCAACCTTTTCCTTCTCCATTTATTTTCTTCCTCCAGATCTGTCCTGTCCAAAGCCAGGAAGGAGGTATCTCCCTGGCTTTTGTGCCAGGCATGTTCATACCCATCTCCCACATCCTATATTTCATCTCTCCTGTCCTTCATCTCTCTCTGTGCTCCTCCATATGGCAGCTGAGGCATGGGACAAGATGGAAAAAGCCATGTGTGAGGGGCAGCAGAGCTGTGTGGGGAGATCAGCATTGCTAATATGTTTCTGTTTCTCATTCCTCAGCTGTGTGAGGGGAAGAAGCAGAGGTGTCACAATGAGCATATTTTCCCCTGCCACTGAAAGAGCCAGCACAGTTTCCTGGAGCCAGGCAGGTGGGATGGCATTCAATGTGACCTGGCATGAGGACAATGGCTACAACTGGTCTGACTGTGAAACCAGCCACTTAAGCACAGAGTCCCTGTCACGCTGCTCATCTGCCTCTGTGGGATGGTGGGGAATGGGGCTCTCCTCTGGCTCCTCGGCTCCCACATCCGCAGGAACTCCGTCACCATCTATGTCCTCAACCTGGCTGTGGCTGATTTCACCATCCTCCTCTTCATCACCATAGCCCTGGGGACATTTTATGCCTCAGAGAGCCTCTGTCACCAGCTGGGCTCAGGAAATGTGACAACAGCATTGAACATCACTATCTTCTTTGCTTTCACTGCCAGTGTCTACCTCCTGACAGCTTTCAGTGCCATGACAGCTCTGTCTGTCTTCCCTATGTCCCACTGTCCTTGTCACCATTCCCAGCTCTTCTCAGTGCTCCTGTGTGCCCTGCTCTGGCTCCTTTCCTTCCTGCTCACTGTTACTCTCTACTTCTACTCTTTGGCACTTATCTTTGTCCTGAGCTACCTCTTAGCAGTGCTTACCCTGATCTGTGCTGGTCTAACTCTGCTTGTCAGGGTCTTGTGCCACTCATGGCAACATCCTCCAAGGAAGCTCTGTGCTGTGGTCCTGCTGGCTGTCATCTTCTTCCCCTTCTTCACTGCTGATTTTGTTTACTGGGCCTTGCTAAGAACCTTTGACTTTTCTGTCTTTGTCTTCAACATGTCTCTCCTGTTCACCTGTGTGAACAGCAGCATTCACCCTCTTATTTACTTCTTGGCTGGGAGCTGTGCTAAGAAATTCACACTGTCTCTCAGTGTTGCCTTCCACAGAGTTTTTGAAGATGTGGAAGAGCCCCAAAATAGAGACAACACAGCGGAATCATCATAAAGTGGAATCATCATAAAATTGAATCATCATAAAATAAAACCAGGAAATATCCTGAGTTGGAAGGGACCCATGAGGATCATTGAGTCCAACTTCTGAACAAGACAACCCCAAAAATCCTACCATGCACCTGAGAGCATTGTCCAAATGCTTCTTGAACTCTGTCAGGCTTGGTGCTGTGCCCACTGCCCTGGGAGCTGTTCCAGTGCCCAAACACCCTCTGGGGGAAGAACTTTTTCCTAATATCCACCCTAATCCAACTGTTTAAACCTCTGCAGCACCAATTCTATGGTCCTGAGATGCTCTAGGGATGGAGGTGTCCTGTGGTGAGACAAGGAAATGCTTTGATGTGGGTCTGGCTGTAGCTGAATGGAATTAACTGCAGCACAAGAAAACATGGAGAACTCCTGCCTGGGATGGATGCTGGATGACATGATCAATCATCATAGAATGGTTTGGATTGGAAGGAACCTGAAAGATCATCTAGTTCCAACCCCCCACCATGGGCAGGGACACCCATGGAAACCTTTTGCTTTGAATCTCCCTATTCAACCAGTCTGGGCTTTGTCTCAAAATCGAGATTCTCTACCCTGTGGACTATTCAAACAGTCACCAAGGCTCAGAGCTCCTGCCAGAGGGTTTGTTTGGGTGTGTCTACCCAAAACCAGAGTGTGGGTGGATAAGAAATCTTGGCACAGCAGTGCATAACAACTCCTGGGCAACTCCAGAGTGTACATTTCCAACGGGTGTTGACACATGGGAAGAACATGTGAAGACTTCGCATTCAGCTTTTTTACCAGATCAAGCAGACATGTGTTTGGGATCATCTCTGGAAGACTTTCCCCAAAATATATTATCTCTGCTGCAAGTTGAGTTTGCTCTGCACATCATGTGGTCTGTCTGCACGCAAGGCTTGGGGGCTGGAACTGCCTCTCATGGATCCTCTCACTTTTCTCCAGGCTGTCTGGATGGTTTTTGCTTGAGCAAACAGAGTGTTGCAATCATGACTTGAGTTTCTGGCTCCACTTCTGTTGTGCCTGTTCCTCATCCGGGATAAACAAGAGGAATAGGGTTAAAATGAAACAAACCCTGCCTGAAGACTCAGTAAAGACTGGATTTTCCATGTGAAGGAGGATACAGGGAAAGGGAAGGAAAACAAAGCCTGTTGAGGCCATGAGGACTGGACCCCTGTCGCCTGGCTCAGGCATTCCCTGGGTAGAGAGGTAGTGGCAGTGCATTCCTTGCTTCTCTCTCCCCTCTGTGTCTGTCAGCCCTTGCTATCAAGGATCTGGGGGATAGATGGGGAATATGAGGGGTGGTAAAACACTGGCACAGATTGATCAGAGGAGCTGTGGCTGCCCCGTCCCTGGTGGAAGGTGTTCCTGCCCATGGCAGAGGGGTTGGAAAGAGATGAAATTTAAGGTCCCTTCCAAACCAAACCCTCCTAGGATTCTATGGCAAACAAGAAGCTCAGGTAGGTGGTGGCCTGGGTCACACTGGAGACAAGGGAGATGCCCAGAAGCAGGGAAACTGCATGGGAGGGTCATGGTCCTTCTGCATCTGTCTTGGAAGACACTCCCTGGGTGATGGGAGCCCTTTTTTGAACAATAGCTTGTCACTTCAAAAGTTTTTACTTTCCTAAGGACAGGAAAATGGGAGAGAGGGAGAAAAAAAACACCCTCTCATCTATGGAAGCAGCTCTGTTCTGTAAAACAACTGTTAATAAATGCTTCTTAGATTTTAATCTCATCATGTGTCTCCAAAGCATGACCCACGGGTTACACTCTTGCTTCTCTTTCCAAAAGCAGTGGCACATTGGTTTCCAGTTGGATTTAAGACAGTGGGAAAAGGAGGGACAACTTCCCCCTGGGTAAGAGCAGGGAAATGGGTGGGTGAACACAGGCATCCCTGCTACTTGCAAATGTGACCATATCCCCTGCCAGTCACTGGGATGCTGTGAGGTTCTTTCCTCCTGATCTTTCCCTCTGGTTGCCTCAGTCACCTTCCACCCTTCATCCTACAAGGAGCTGCTCTCCTGGTTGTCCCAGGTGTCCCTGAGGAAAGCTTTCAGCACACATGGTCAACTCCTTGTAGGATAGCTTGGCTCAACTGGAGGCTTCTTACCACGAGATACACCCCTGCTAGCTGCAAGCATCCTGGAGAGTTGTGCCTGCTGCCCAGGTAGCTCCCAGAATGAATGAGGAACTCTTGGCACTGTCAACAGGTGGCTCATCCCAACCACTGCAGGCATTCACCTTAGGATAAGCTCTAGTATGAGACAGGTACTTGCCCTCCTCATACATAAGACAGATGCTGTAGAATGAGGGTAAACAGAGGAAATGAGCCATTTTCTGACACTCAGTCAGCCTTGCTCTGTTCACCAGTGACAAACTCTGCAGCAAAGCTCAGGTGTTGTTTAATCAACAAATTTTGAGGTCAGAGTTACCATATTGTAAACAAACAAATGAAATAAATCCAAATTTAATTTAGGAGTAGTAACTAAATGATAAAGATCTGTACAAACAGAAATTTGGTTAGTCATTGAAGCTGCTATGCAAGACCAAAAGGAATCAAAGGAAGCAAAGGAAGCAAAGGAACCAAAGGATGGTCTCATTCTGCAGAACAGCAGTGTAAACCTCCTAACTGCTATAAAATCAAGTGGCCCAAAAATCTGGCTGTGTGAATTCCCATATTTCGGGGTCATCTTGGTCATGGGCACAGAGGTGTGTTCAGTGGAGTTGCTATGAGCAAAGAGAGCACAGGACTGAATATCTCTGACTTGCCAAGTCCATCTGATCTGGTAATCCCCTGCCTTGCTTCACAGCATGGCTGGGAGCCGAGTCTGGGGAGGGCTTGGTGAGCTAGGCCAGAGCTGACATTTGCCAGCTGTGCTGCTCTTTGGCATAAGAGAGGGGAATTTTGGCATCAGACATCCTCAGCTGTGCTGTGTTATCTCACAGAATGCTGGAATGCTTTGGATTAGAAGGGACCTGAAAGCTCATCTCATTCCAATCCCCCTGCCATGGGCAGGGACACCTTCCACTAGCCCAGGTTGCTCCAAGCCCCATCCAATCTGTCCTTGAGCACTTCCAGGGATGGAGCCACCACAGCTTCTCTGGGGCAACCACTTCTTGGCATGAACATGAGCGCTGGGAACACGTCACTTGCAATCCCCCGGCACTATGGAATCTACACTCTAAACGACTTCATCCTGAAATTAAAGAATGTGACAGATTCCCACTTAAAGTACAAGGGCACGTCGTTGCTCCTTCGCCAGCTCTGCAGCCCTACCTGGTGTCGGCTTGTTTCTCTTCCCATGAGCCGGGAATGCAGAGCTGTGCCGAGCGGCTCTCGGGACAGAAGGGGAAGGATGATCGGTGCGATCCCAACCCCTCTCCTGCCATCTAGAGGCATCAGCCCCGCAGAAGTTTGTGAAATCACCGCTGGCCAGTGCTGGATGAGTCCCAAGGGCTTAATTTGTCACACCTTCCCCAGGCAAGACATCCCTCAAAACACCGTGAAACTCATCTGCTGAGCCAAAGGAGACAGAGGTGCTGAGACAATTCCATGGAGAATACAGCCAGGGAACAGGACTGAACACAGCTCCACTGGCTCTGAGCCATGTGCCCCCATGCCTCCCTGCTTCTGACTGGCTCTGAGGTGCCACATCTCCAGGTCACCTCCACCAGGCATGTAGCTCCCCTCCTCACTCCACATTTCCATGCCTGGGAGCAGACCTTCACCTGGAGATCACATCCCATGGTCAGGAGCCTCCCCTCACAGCCACACTATGTTGGTGGCAGCTTCCCCTCACGTGTCTCATGGATGGAGCTCTTGTCAGGTGGTGGCCATGTCACCCCTTTCCTCTCCTGCTGTCCTCCACTGTTGTCCCATCATATGAGGGTTTTCACTGCATGTACCTGGTGGTACATCTGTCAATGAAGGAGGGGACAGAAATCATTCCCAGGGATGGAGGATGGTAGAAAGGCGAGAGACCAGCCAGGGACATTCCAGAGTGGGAAATGACTGGTGTGCAGATGTGCAACAGCACAAGAGCTTTGCTCAGTACCTCCAATGATATGTATCTGGTGCTCAAAGACTTCTCCCAGCTTTCTTCTGGGAGACACTTCCAGGAGCTGCACCTTTCTGTAGACCTGTCTCCATCCCCCTGTCATGGATAGACCTTGAGCCTATGCTCTAGTCTTGTTTCAAGTCTACCTCTGGCTGCAACTCCTGCTGCTCCAGGCTGAACCCCCTGGAAAGACCATGGACCTTGTTCATTACCATCCATTCACCACATGAAATCAAAGGATGTCCTTGGAGGATGCCAGTCCTGGGAATGACAAGCATAGGCAATAAATCCCAAGAAGAGGGCATTATTCCCTGAGTTATTATGGAAGAGAGAGAGAAAAACAGCCATAAAATGCTGGTCTCTGTGTTGTGACAGGCTGCAAAAGGAACCATCTGGAGATAAGAGCACATTGGCAGCACCATGTACCCCACAAAATCTAATCTCAGAGGAGGCACATGCCTGTCAGGGGTGTGATTATAGGCAAAGCCCTCGTGCTGTTCCATATCTGGGCACTGGTGATTTCTCACAGCAAGGGGAGACAAGACCCGTGCTCAGCACCATGGGCTGCTGCTGAGGGGCTCTCTTGGCATCCACGGGGCAGGGAGTTAGTGAATGATGAGGTCTAGGGGGCATAAGAAGAGAGGAGCATGATCAGGAGGGATTCTGTCCAGAGGAATGATGGGAAGATAGAGCATTAGGGCAATGGGAGTCTCATGGACATCTGAGTGGTTCAGAAAATCCTGTAATAGCTGAAATGACCTTAAAAGGATAGCATTCCAATGGACAGGACCTGCCCTCATCAGAGGAGGATTTTGACTCAGGATTCTCAGCACCTGAAGAGGCATAATATTATCTATGCTGTCCTCTTCTTCTTCATAGTTTTAGATTCAGTAAATGGTATTTAAAATTATAAAGTCTGAATGCCTTTCTTAAAGGGACCATAACAGATCAGCTCCTGGTGAAGAACTGGGGGGAGGAGAAGAAGGGGGTGATGTGGTCACCTCCTGCTGACAAGATCTCTGTGTGTGGGACATGTGAAGGGAAGCTGTCACTGACGTGGTGAGATTGTGAGGGGAGGCTCCTGGCCATGGGATATGATCTGTGGGTGAAGATCTCATCCTCAGGCAGGAGGGATAAGGCTGAAGCACAGTGGGTTGTTCCAGCAGCCATCACCAGACCCTTTCTCTTGGCAAGCCCAGAGGTCCTGTGTGCTGAGGTTCCTGCACTGTTCCCAGGAGCACCAGGAGGTAGGAGACCAGGGCTGGACAAATGGAGATGCCTTCTGTCCAGGGACAGGGCTGAAGGAGTGGGAGCCTCTCCTGGGCATGGTAGGGGACAGGGTTCTTCCTGAGGCTGGCTTGGGGTTGTGTAGAGAGATGGTGAGTGCTGGGAATGCCCTTCATTGCCTTCTGGTTCCTTATTTTTCCTAGGAGGTGGTAGAGGACAGAGCAGGCAGCCACCAGAAGCAGAATCATTCACTATGGAGGAGACCAACATAACAAACCTCACTCTGAACTACACAATTTATGACTATATGGACATTGATGAACTTTACAGACATGAATGCTCAAGAATATCATATGCACTAGTTGTCTTTGCTGGTGTCTGCGTGGGGATTTCCCTCTGTGGGCTTGTGGGGAATGGGGTCGTCATGTGGTTCCTGGGCTTCCACATGAAGCAAAGCCCTTTCACTGTCTACATCCTGAACCTGTCTGTTGCTGACTTCTCCCTGCTCCTCCTGTTTTTCCTGCTTCTACTAGCAATTTTGATCTTAACATCATTCTGTTCTTCTTTGTATCATTTTGTTCCTCACTACCTACACTTTGCATTTATAGTTAGCTTTCTGTGCCACTTCTTTGACCTGAGCAGCCTGGGGCTGCTCACAGTCATCAGCGTGGAACGCTGCATCTCTGTCCTCTTCCCAGTCTGGTACCGCTGTCGCCGCCCCAAGCACCTGTCAGGCGTCGTGAGTGCAATGCTCTGGGCTCTCACTGGCGGGTTTGTTTTCTTGATGTACTTCTCCTTTACCAATTCCAAAGACTCTGAGGTAGTGTTTGCAGGACTAGCCCTTGCCATATCCGTGGTTTTATCCTTAATGATGTTGATTTCCAACCTGTTCCTGTTCATCAAACTCTGCTGCAGTTCCCGCAGACGACACCCAGGGAAGCTCTTTGTTGCCGTCCTGCTC